AACACTTCATGGCACTTAAGTTGAAATTATCGTCGAAATTTCCACCATGATCTCAATAATTTAGTATAAAAACTCATCTAATACATTAATTTAGAATTTCTGAGGAGCTCAGGTTTAGCATCCAAATGTTTTGGAAGTTGGAATCAAGCTATTCAGAGCCCTCACCTTCCCCCTATAAGGAGCCTCCCTTCAACCTGCCTTATTGGTCTAGTGGTATCAGAAATTTGCATCTTCCAATCAGCAAAAGTTGCTACATGATTTTGACTCTTAAAGACACCGACTGCCCTCTGGACAGCTCGATGAATTATAATGGTCAGAGGATCTGTAGCTGGCTCACCTTCCTAAAGTTTATTGCTCAGCTGAGGTGTCAAGTATCAGATTTTCAAGCTATGCCATCATGTTGAACTTAACTAAATTTCCAGGAAAAAAAAACAGTTGGCTACATCCTGGTTGCATAGCAAGAATGGCCTTAAGTAACATTCTGATTACAAGAATGGGGCTGTCTCACCTTGTCTAGATCTTATAACATATGGTATAGTTTAAATACAATAGTTTATAATAATTATGGGTCTCCAACTTAATGAGCAGTTACATCTCTTTTCCCCCATCTTATGGTCTTAAACCCACTGGTTTTGCTGTGCTCTTTCAGGTTTAGATCGCCAAGAGACAAGTGTTTCCAACCTTCACCACACCATGAACTCTCATCTTAAATTACATTCTTCCTCTAATTTCTATTCATGCATCCCTTTCTGTCCTTGACACTTGCTTTGCCTTGCTGCTGAAACTTTGTTTCACAAATCATTTCCCTGCTGAATTACGAGGGTTTGAACTTTAATAGTGGAAACTATTTATTTACAGCTGATACAAAATAGATGCCTGTTTCGAAGTTCTACTGTCCTTCAATGTAGTCACCAGCATTGTGTACAACCCGGTGCCAGCGATGTGGAAGTCGTAAGATACCTTTAGCAGCGCCTGTTGTGTTGATAGTTCGAATGGAGCAGTGTACTGCCTGAAGAATCTCTGGAACAGTTTTGAAGCGAATGCCACGAAGTGGTTCCTTCATCTTAGGAATCAAGTTGAAGTCACAAGGGCTTAAGTCCGGGGAGTATGGTGGATGGTACAGCACTTCCCAGCCCCATTGATTGAACAAATCAGCTACAGCTTGCCATTTCTGCATTTCCGTCAAATCATGCGGAGCCCATCGTGATTCAGTTTTTCTCATGGCCAGGCGTTCCTTCGTATGCTCTAATCCTGTCTCTCAGGCCAGCTCATGAATCGTATGGCGTCGATCACTCTCCAGTAACGCGGAAAGAGCATACACTACTTCTTCACTGACACTAGGTCGACCTGGCCGGCGCATGTCTGCCACATTTTGGCATCCCTCATTGAAGGCTTTTACTCACCTTGCCACTGTTCTGTAAGGCAATGCAGATACCCCGCAAGCCTCTTGAAGACCTTGATGACACTGTCGTGCTGTACGGCCTCTAGCACATTCACTCTTTATCCAACTCTGTTGTTCCTGTTTCGAAAACACTGTGACAACACTACATTAGACTGCCAGCTAGCATGAGTCTCTGTTCTTCTCGTGACTGCGCATGCACGTGATGTGGGAAGGGAGAGTCCATTTGCTCTGAGGTAAGGTAGGTATGTAACTAACGTGTGGTATAAGCGACATTATTTGGTTCTGCTGTATGGCGTCTCTACAGCAGTGTTGCCACTATTAAAGTTCCAACCCTCGTAAAAAGGAACTATTGTATCTACACATTTCAGCTATGCAGGCAAATACGGCACCATCAGCATCACTGTCTTCATAAATCTCTCTTAAAATACTACTGGTACCCACAAAACTTTCCAGTGAATCCACTCAAACATTTCAGATACCATTAGACTTGCTAACATGGTTTGGGAGCCACTGCCCTCAATGAAATCACCCTGTGACCAACTAATATTGTTACTGATAAATATAACAACATATAGCCTATGTGTATTGTATGTATGAGGATGAACTGTAGAAGATTTGAGAGTCACCATTGCCCTTGTCAGTTCCTACATATTACAAATTTCCAGTCAGTCACCATTGTACAGTATGGGTCTAGAGTAAACTTACGCTTTTTGTAAGCTTACGTGTTCTTTCTATTTTGTCCATTTTCTTAATATTGCTGGAGCCAGTGTATTAATTTGGAGTTTAATGTTTGTAGTACTTATAGAAGGCTGGACCTTTTCATATTTATACATAATACTGAAATTATATATATATATGTTTGATCTGTCTCTATTTAGAATACAAATCTATCTTGCTCATGTAATATTGAATAATAATGTCTTAGGATGGCTGTAATGTGATTGTTCCTGTTGGTAGGTACCAACAACAATATTGCATGCAAGAACAATTCTTTTGGGGTTATTTTATTTATATTTTGGCAAATGTGATGATTGAGATGTAATCTTTTGTTGCTATTATTGTAAATTGCTTTAAATCAATCTGGGTGGAATGTGATGAACAGATAGAACTGAGGATGATATATCAATACTAGAATGATAATCTTGGAATTTAAACCCTTACTTAGGGCCTCAGACAAAAATGAGTAACAAATTTTAGGCAGAAAATCCAAAAGGAAGAAACCACCTGAGAGAACTAGGTGTAGATGGGAGTACATTACAAGAAGTTCTGGGAAGAACTAATCACTTACTTTCCGTTCACTGCATAATAAGTATCTGATATGACAGAGACTGCACAGAAAACAGTGCATCCAACACTTCTATTGTTGCTGCAGAAATGTCTCTTCTGGCTCCACTAATCCAGTTTGTTACGGGGGTACACGCAGACAGTAAGGTGATCTCATAAGCCTCCTTTTATTTTTTAAAAATGAGGAAAGTAGGCAAAAAGTAGTTTGTTAACAGGTCATTGGGTTGTGGAGTGAATTTATCTGCCTAAGGACAGGGTTCAGTGGCAGTCTACTGTGAATGTGATAATGAAACTTTGGGTTCCATACAAGGTGGAATTTTTGACTGGCTATATGGCTGTTAGCTTCTGAAGGAGAACTCTGTTCCTTGGAGTTCATTTAGCCTTTTGCTCAGTTTTATCTCATATTGTATTGAATTTTGTATACCTTTTTACAAACTGCCAAATTAACTGTATATACGCCATTCCAGGTTCTGAATATATTTTAATTAACCTTTTCTGTGTACAGTTTTTCCCATTCTTTTTATAAAATTATACATAATGATTAAATATTGTATTATGGAAGAAATGAGTTTACCATAATAATTTGACACAAGAACTCAATATTGCCAGGATGTGTTAGCTCTGGGTTACAGATTAGACTGCCAGGCTTTTATTCTTGCTAGGTTAATTCAAATTTTTCTTCTCAGCACAATGACTGGACTGACTGTAGAGGCCATCAGGTATAAAGGTGGCCAAACAATGAAATGGGCCATTTTCTCCATCTAGTTCCAAGACTGAAAATACATGCAGCTTTACTTCCACACCAACTGTGTATTGCCTTGGTATACCCGTTACACACAGTGAAACCTGTAGCCTTATCACTGCCTTATCTACTGGATAAACACTTAAAGCACATCAAAATTTAAATTTAAACCTTAAAACACTTTACGAATCGCAGCTTATTTTTAAGATGTGGGTTGGGTGTTTACCAGTGTTTGAGAGGAACCAGCTGCCTCCATCTTCAGGGATGTGAAGGTTGAGGCAACAGGTGCCCATACAAACTTGTGAGGTGGAAAAATAATCTTAATTTTTTCCACCATGAAAACCTTACATCTCATAATTTATTTTTGCTTTTCCTTACTTTTTGTCAGTGCCTTTTAAACATTTATACATTTACACATAGGGCTGAAAAAATGTTATGGCCTTACTGCATGTTTAGCAGGTCTGAATTGGCCATAGACCATTCCTGAGGGTTTTCATGGTCTTCCTCATGACCTCCAAATGTTGATACAGGCATGGCAGTTCTTTCCCATCAGCCTAGGATACAGTTACATAACCAATGAACTTGATGGAGCATCATTAAATCAATAAACAAACCGAATGCCTTCTTATGGTTTTAAATTCAAGTTGAACAAGCAATGATCACTTTCCTCCTGGATTGATGCAGCATTATGTGGTTGCTTTTAACTGTCTAGTAAATGTTGCAATTTCTACATAAGTATCCACTTTTTAAGTTTGTGTTCACAGCCTGACTGGTATATTTTGTGTATATTTTTGTTAATGTAGGTGTGTTTTTGTGTACATATATATATATATATGGAAAGTGTGATAATATCCTTTCATACTTGAAGAGCTTTTCATGTATGTGATAGGTTCTGTGTAATCAACTAAAGAAACATATTCAAGTATGTTTTAGGAATGGATAAATATAATTAATATTGTACATATCTAATTACAAATACAAACTGTATGAAAGTAATATACAAAGTGCTCCAGGCAACAACATGTATTTCACCTTTGACCTCTATCCATTTTACAGCTAGTCACATGGCTTGTATTAGTATAGATCCAGATGTCCCTATGGGACTCTCATTAAATTGTCTTGCCTGGATGGTCTGACAGGACACTTCATTAGCCCCTAGATGAGTTTCCCTTATACACTGACTTGAAAAATAATAAAGTACTCAAATTAATATTTTCTCTGTTCCTAAGAGATATGAAAAACGTAAGGCATGCTATGCAATGAATTATTATTTAGTATTTTTAGTATACTGAATTCAGGGAAGGGCTAGATGTCAGGATAATACAGGATATAACTAACTTCAAACCAAATGCCATGCCATAGCTCAAGCAGTTAGTCGCTGGCTTCCCACTGCGGCATCCCGGGTTCGATCCCAGGTCTGGTCAAGTGGGATTTGTGGTGGACAAAGTGGAGCTGGGGCAGGTTTTCTCCGAGTACTTCGGTTTCCCCTGCCAATCTTCATTCCACCAATTGCTCCACAATCACCCTCACCTATCATCTGGGGCTGATACAATATGCCAGAAGTGGCCACAGTACAAGGGACTTAGTCCCACCCCACTAGCAATTAAAAAAAACTTCAAACCATGTCAATGGCAATATTAAATTTTAGTGGCATTAAGTCTCAGAGTTCTGTTACTAGAGAATGCTTCCCACCTTTAATACAATTGTATAACCTGTATTTTGGAATCAAAATCTGATAAGCCTGTGTTTTGAAAAAAAAATTGCACATATATTATGTCCGAGGAGATATTGATCTCTGTTCTGCCTCTCACTATCATACTTTATATGCTTTGATTGCTTGACTCACTTTGTTAGTGAGTGTAAAAGCAGATGATATGCAGCCATCAATATGTGATGACATAAAACTGTCACCTCCAGCAACAAGTAATGGGTGTTCTGCTATAGTGAGACACCCAGGTTGCCCCATATATGGAGTCATAACCTGTGAGTATTGCCACCAATGACACTTAGTATATTCTGGTTCAGGCCAGTCTGGAAACATTTCCTTCACATGATCAACTAGTTCATTCTGAACATCATTCAATTCTCTGTCAGCATTATTTGCACCATATTGTATGGATGTGTGAAATACAGCTGCAAGAGGTGAAGCTGGCATGTTTCTTTTTCTATTTTCAAATGAAACATAACGAAATATCTTATCATCATATATATACTTGGAGTCCCAGCCTGTGTTAAATTTATAATTTGAATCAAAAAATAAACATAATGCATATCTTGAGCTGAATTTCACAGATTGCAGGTTACGTTTCATTTCCTGGTCCTTACTCATTATTTCCTGGATGGAACCCTGAAGATCAAGCACTTGAGGTACAGGCATTGTTAAGATAACTATATCAAACATACCTTTCACTCCAGACTTTGATTCAACAACCCACTGTTTCCCACATTTATAAATAGAAACTACATAATGTCCAAAATGTATTTCATCTGCATCTTGAAGAAAATGTTTCACCAAAGAATTCATTCCATGTGGGGCTACAAACTGCTGTGTTCCTAGTGGCAAGTCCTTCATTCCTTCTATCTTACTACATAATGGTTCCAGTTGTTTTCCCTGTATTAGTGATTCATAGATTTCACGGTGGTCCCTGTAATTCTCTTGTGATGATGTGATGTACTGGGCACCAAGATCTGCAGTACAGCTAGAATCAGAGGGATTCCTGATTGTACTCATTCGGCCCCCAGCACCTCTTGCTTTGTCCCAGATGACTAGATAAATATGTTTCTGGCACATTTTACGAAGAAGCGATGTTGTAATTGCACTCGTAAATCCAGTACCAACCAATAATATTTTACACATTATGTGAAGATTACGGGATTAACACATTGTCACGACGTCGTCGCCCCTGTCTCTGACCGCTCTGACCCTTTCGTGTTTGGCCATGGTACCATGACGATCAAGACCACGAGGACCACAACTGATCACAATCCCCGCAAGTAGAATAAAGTCTTTGTTTCGTCGGTACCGAATATTAAGTGTATAATGAGAGTGTGTACGTTTTGGATATTAATTAGGGAATCATTAGGATCATTCGAGAGAAATTAAGTTTCCTCATATTTTTACAAATTATGGTGTTCGTGATATTCCGCAGTTGCAAGTTCTAATTGGTATTCTGCTTAACTTGGCAACGCCCATTCTGAGGGTGATTTTACCAGTAAAATGTACATTTTTACTGTTTTACGCCATTTCTCCCCTATTACACATACAAATCCAACTTGTAAAGGAAGTCGTCAGAGCTGGTGGTCTATATTAAACTGGTTGTTGAAGTTGCAGCGCAACTGTTGATATTTCTGGGAAGTAACTCCGTGCAGTCTGGTAGCCAGTTACCCACGTTTTGGAAGCAAGAGATTCTCTCAAAATGGGTGAACGACCTGCCTTCCAAACGTTCCAAACTGAGCAATAATTATTGCTCAGTCTTAACCGTCCTAACAGATTATAATCTGTTAAGACTACACAACGTGCAATAAGACACCAAGCTTCAGTAATCTCTGCCGGCCTCTTCTGTGAGATCAAAGTAGTTCACGTTAGTGTGTGTTTGTTCACAATAATTAGTATGTTTCCATACAGACTTGGGCAAGTATTCAGAGCAAGGTACTAGTATACTTGTTAGAAATATGATGCTATATCACTAAGATTCATGTAAATGAATTCATTTGCCTCCCACAAAGCATTATGTGTGATAAAGGTTTCAAGGTTATGAAAGATTCTGCATTCGCTTGGAACAGGAATGCCGAGAATTCTGCTACAGAGAGCTGAAGAAACATTTCCTGCTGTGACAGAAAGGATGGTGAGTGTTTTGTGCTTGTGTGCACAGACAAGAATTTTATCATAATCAGTCAATTCTCATATCTTAGGAAACTAAACTTTTATGCCAAGCTTGTGTTAGTGTTCATGATCCATCTGGGGAGTTTACATGGTTCTTCATATTGTAACACTTTGAATTATTATGTGGGAGAGGGACCAATTCAAGGAGAGTGATATGGGTATGTATGTATGTATGTATTGGGTGGGCCATAAAGACCGGCCCCCGCAATGCGACCTTCAAAGATAATTGTGCTTCCCCTTGGATTAGCCCTTTATTAATCCTATACTTTTAATAAAGTGTAGAACCCTGCTTATGGGAGAGTCATAAAAGTCACAAGTGA